TCAGTCTCTATGAAGTTTGGGGTTTTTAACTAGTCTAAGTACGGCAAAATATTCTTGTTTTAATCCGTTGTTTATTCTAAATAGTTGGAAAGATGAGAGTTCAGAGCTTTCCTTGTTCATAACGCAGCTGGAAAGCAGTAAACCCTAAAGCTACACGAACTCGCACACACCCACGTAGCCTAGTGTTACTCTATCCAACTTGCCCCCCCCACTTAAGGGCACATAACCAGTAAACTCTAACTTTGAGGGTAGACACATCAGAGGCTACGTGCTGATTTATGGGACTCAAAAATGGAGCCCCCTAACGAGGGCAGGGGTGTAGTTTTTCACTTTGAAACGCCGTAACAGTTGATGATATGCTCATTAGGAAAGAAAACACACTAACTAATGAAAAAAACCTTTGCTTCACTCTTTGAATGAAATAAACCCTGGTCATTGAAATGTGCTGAACACATTTGGATACAGCTGAGTCATGCTTCAGCTATTTCCGGATGGAGTGTTTATTGTTTACCAGATTTCCTACAGATCTTTTATTTTCAAAGATTTTCTACCAGTATTCCTAACATTGTGAAGATGAATCAAGTCTGGGTTTCTTTTTATCTTTGACCCAAAAAACAACAAAATTAAGAACTGTCATTCTTAGACTAATCTGGACTCAGTTATCCTGCTTTATATCTAGATTTTTTTCCAAACCATAAGTTACCTCAAGTATATTTTTGTCTATTTAAAATAACTAAAGATGCACTAAGAATTTTAAGAAGTTTATTTAGTAAAACAATTTTTAACAGTTTAATAGAACATTTTAAAATCTGATCAGTCCATCTGAGTTTTTGAATCAGTTTACGTAAAATTATAATTAAATTAAATCTCTGTATATTAGTGTTTCTTTGAAAGTCTTTTTTTCTTTTGATAATGACATGAATACAATAGTCTACACAAAAAATATTTCCTTTTTTTCCCTATATCTATGCATTACAAAAAAAAAACTAATTTTATACTTTTTAAGCATGAAAATAAATGTCTAAGGGTGGCTTTGTGGGGAAAAAAGGCAGTGATTTTGCAATCTGAAAATCAGGAGTTTGATCTCAACTGGAAAAAACCATCTAGAAATAAGTTAAAAATTCTTAAATTAAGTGTATTTACCCTTATTTTGAGTAGGTAAATGATATAGTTTCCCAATGGAATGAGTAATTTTACTCTTAAAGTAAGATAATTAGATAAAATGCACTGAAAACAACACAATGCAATTGTGTTTACGTATTTTAAGTGTAAATTGTCTTGGTCCATTTGCAAAATGTCTCTTTTACCTCCTCAATCCAAGAACAAATGCACTTATTTTAAGAAAAATGACTTATAATTGATTTTGATTTTTTCCAGTGTAGGGGTATTAGCACCAGCCTTAGGCAAGGCAATTAACCCTTACCTTTAGCCGCTCACCGATGGGTGTGTTGATAGTTGAATGTGACTGCAGCTGGCTATAAAGGATTGTGTGGAGTCAAATAGATAACTGATAACAGACAGTGATCAACGAGGCCATCAGAGGGACTAACCTTGAAAATAACTACTTCAACATGCTCTCTTTTTGTTCTTTTTCTTGCTTAAACCTTTGACATCCCAATCATTTCCTCTGCAGCTTGTTAAAATTTTTCTTCTTATTGAAAACACATCATTTGGCTATTGGAAAACTGCAGCTTTTTTTGTGTGTTTATGTTACTTTTTAGTCATCTTTCCCCTGATTCAGACCTTTTTTTTTTCTAAAGCCATAAAAAAACACATCCTCCTCTGTGACATTAGTTCCTATAAGGCCATCTAAACCAGCATTAACCCTTTAGATCTAAGTGACAGGATTTAGTAAACAGACAGAATTAAGTGTCAAAACACAATGAATGTGTTTAATTTGAAATAGAAAAAAAAAGAAATGTGTACCATATGGCAGCTGTGCTTGTTGAGCTTTTGTTCCCTAGTGGATCAGAGAGCAGGATGACATTCAGAGTAAACTTTCCAGCGCATTTCCGTTTGTTTAAACTGTATCCCAGAGGAACCCAAATAAAGCCGCTCAGATTTCCATTTTATTGGGGCTAAGTGGTCCAAGTAAATCTTTCCTGATTAAGACTGAATAATTAACAGGCTCACACGCTGAGCCGTGGATTATTCACTGGACATTCCTTATTACATTGAATTATCAGTAAATAATGACTTCATTTTGTGACCAACAGACAGAAGGTTGAAAAGCCTTTATCCCATATTTATCTGCTTTAAATCATCGGTGGAAACAAGGCTGAGCTCAAACTGTTGGATTTATTAGGATTTTATCACATCTGAGGGAAATCTTGTCAGCTCCTATAATACCTGTGAGGGATTCAGGTGTGATTGTGTAATAGTTTGCTGCTCATTTCTCTCCTGTCAGACGCCATTTGGTCTTGCTTATCCTAACGGGGAGCATGGAGCTCCGCACTTTATCAGGCCCGATTTTAAAGCGTTTGTTGAGTGGGGTATTTAATCAAAGTGATGCATCTTACTTTTTTAAGTCTTGCGTGTTTACATATGTGTGGGGAATTAATCTGGAGCATGTTTGAGACTTTTCACGCTCAATCGAAAAGTATCTAAATGTGCATGAAGCGTCTGAAATACGAACCAGATTGGAACAGTCAGAAGGAGGGAACGGATTCCTCCACAACTAGTAGAGTCCAAATTCTTTAGCGCTCCTGACAGCTTCCCATAGGAGCCTTTTACCTTTAATCACAGCCGACATTTTGATCTTGAATTTTGAAAACAGCGTTGTAAGGTCAACCAAAGGGTTGCTGCTCCTACAAGATTCCCCGTTTTGTCGCAGCCAGATGCTGGGCAGAAAGAAATCTGTTGGCAATTTTCTCGTCTCCAAGTGTGTGTTTGGGGGACGGAGTAATTTTCTTCTTTTGGGACATATGGAAGCTGAGGCCGGCACGCTACGTGTAGCGAAACGAGCCACGGCGGCAGATTAGACGCCGTTTACTCTCTGCTGTGTTTTCGTTAGAGTGTATAGACGGGGTGCAGACCGTGGGGGGAGGCTGAAGGGGGGCCTTCATTTACTGAAACACCTAACCAACCCCCTAAGTGATCATTTTCAATTTGCAGGTTCAGTTGAGTGCGCGCTGCTGGCAAACCGATCCTCCAGCCAAGAAAAACACAGCACCTTTCAGAAAGCGGGGTGAAATGAAAGCCATATTTAGGATTTTGTGGTTTCTTTGCAAATTAATTAGGGAGAACTGAAACAACCAGGATTCAGTTTTCTGCTTGGGGGGGTGGAAAGGTACCGCAGGACTGAAGGAAGATAGAGAAAAGAGACATTAAAACGGGGATGTTAAAGAAAATAAATGAAGGTGATCAAAAGAATATGAGCCAAAAGTAAGGCTTTTATTTTTACTGCAGCTTCTTTGCTTTAATGTTATTTTCTGTTTGCTGATCCTGCCGTGTTATTTGTACGCCAAGTGAAAGTAAAGCAATTGGTTTAATTTATCATGTTGCAAGAAGTAACTTACTCATAACATGCTATCCATAATGTCAGAGACTTTATAGCAAAAATATCTTGTTTCTTCCACCTGAAATCAGTTTTTAATTACTGAATGTTATATATTTATTTATTTTATTTCACTTTTAAAATTTGCAGATAACTTTAAACGTTTTGTACATTTGCATCATTCTAAAACATTAAATCAGATGGTCTGATCAGTGCTTTAGCAGCCTTTTTTCCCAATTAGCCTACTTTTTTACTCTTACTTAAGTAATTTATTGGATTGCTACCTTTTACTTTTTGTTTTTAGTTATTAAAAATGTAATAAAGTAGGTTTGCTCTCTGCCCCTCTGCCCACCTCTGCTCACTTATGCTGGGAAGCAGCACACTGGAAAAAACTATCTAGAAATAAGTGCATATTTCTTAAATAAAGTGTATTTAGCCTTAGTAGGGTAGAGTAGAGTAGGTTAATGAGATAGTTTCCCAATGGAATGAGTATTTTTGATATTAAAATAAGATAATTAGATAGAGATTGCATTCCAGTCAATAAGTCGATGCAATCACTTTGTTTTCCTTAGATAGAAAACTTTGAATCAAAGTATTCAAATGATCTGGTGAACTGGAAAGTGCCTTGAGATGACATGTGTTGTGAATTGGCACTATAGAAATAAACTAAATTGAATTTGTTAGACATTTTTTAGTCTGGAAAATGTTCGGACTGTAAATGTTGTTAGTTTAATTAACAAAAAACATACAAAGATCCAACAAAATAATATTAAAGAGCTATATTTATGCTCAATCTTCTTCTCTAAGCACTTTCTATTTTACACTGCAAAAACAATCTAGAAATTAGTACAAATTTCTTAAATTAAGTGTATTTAGCCTTAATTTGAACATATAAATAAGATGATTTGCCAGTGGAATTTGTTTTTTTTTACCCTTGAAATAAGATAATTATATAATAGTAACTTGAAATAAGACAATGCAATTGTTTTTTTCTTATTCTAAATGTAAACTTTCCTGTTCCATCAACAAAGTGTCTCACTTAATAATGCACTTTGCATTTTTTGCATTGTACTTTCTAGGTTTAATTTATTCAAACAAAATAGTCTGTTTGCTTAAAGTATACATATGATGTCAAAAGGAAGGAGGAGGAATAAAGAAGCATTATCTGTTACCAAGTCATGGTTACTACGATATGTTAAAGATCACTATAGGCTTAAAGTTTGGAAGGAAGATACAGATTTGGACAAAAAATGAACATAGTTTAAGTCATAAATTGATCAAAATCAAATTAAATTAATCTGATTTTTTTTTTTTTAAAGACAGTATGATGAGTCATTGCTCAGAATTTACTCTATATTTTATGTTCTGGAATTGATATAATGAAGTACTGTATGAGTCCTGCTTCTTCCAACCAGAAATGTTACAAGAAAAAAAAAAAAACCTGTAAAATGTCATTGTGATTCATGGCACTTTTGTTCATTCAAGCATTCACATCTTCTTTCAGGTGACGGAGAACATCATCTCCAAACAAACCTTCATCGGTGAGCATCTCCGTCTCACACACTCCATAATTCATCCACAGCATTCCTTCCAAAGCTTCCCCTGATTTTCTTTCCTCTCTCACAGAGGCGAGAACGATGCCTCGCTCGTTCAACATCTCAAAGAGCTCCGTGGCCCAGAGGCCGTCTGCTCACCTGACTCTTCGAGACATCGGCTCTCAAGGTGAGACATCTGGACAGGAAACTTTAGGAGGGCGCTTAAAAGATGTTGTTCCAGGAAGGTTCATTCAGGATCCTTGAGTTCAAGCAATGGAAAAAACAATCATAAACAACCTGAATTCTGTTCCCTCTTTGCCAGCATGTGTCTGTTCAAATGACGCTAAGGCCTGATCAGAATGAAGCCCCATGTTGAGTCAGTTTATAAGAATACAAGTCCCAGCTGAGCCTTGTCAAAACCAATTAGCCATCTCAATCGTAACGACAAACAACAGTCACAAACAGTGAGGAAAACACTCGGCCGGAGCATATCATGTCCGCGCCAACTCAAACGGATCGCATTAAATGTTCTTTAGATCACCTTTACTTTCATATCTCTTGGTTAAACATCTGTGTTTCTAGATTTTCCAATTCTCCCAGCGCAGATTTGGTTTAAACAAGTCTTCTTTTTTTTAAATCATGTTTTCATTTGAAACAGATGCAATCCTCTTTCTTTTCCAGTTCATAACTATCTGGTGACATTTGAAGGGGAATTAAACTGCTCAACCCATCAGTTATTTTCGTTGTCAGCATCCGATAAAACTATTTCATCCTTCTTCGAACCGAAAATCATTTAACAGACATTGACCGGGAATGATTAATAGATGTAAACGATAAAAAAAAACAAGTTTGTTCATAAAAAAAACACACTTTGCAGTTGGAAAAATGTTATTAAATCAAGACTTTTTTTTGCATTTTATTTGAAACTGGCGTGCAAACCGAAGGGTGTTAACAATCTGGCAAAGGCTGCATGATGTTGTTTCCACTAAGCTGACAAAGGGCAAGGAATGTAGAAGTGTTTGTGAGCGTTTATGTGTTTGTGTACGAAAGGGAAGGAGGAAGACAGGGTGAGGTTCACACATTCAGCCTGGATTTCTCAAAAGGAAGTGCAGCAGTGAGAGACGCTCTGGGGAAAGCCTTCTAATCAATTCGATGAAGCTTTTATCTTTGCAGTAAAACCCAAAGCATGTTAGTTTATTCTGCCATTCATATGTTGAACTAATGTGAAAACTGCAGCTACAACACAGAGATATCTTCAGTCAGTTAAATTGATCCATCGATATTGCTTATAAAAACTTAGTATACTGAGAATAAAATAATATAATTGATGCCGGAATATCTTTATTTAGTTTCCTCTTAAAGGGACATATGAAATACTAATGGCATTAATAGGATAAACTCATATTTTTTCAGTACAATAAAGTAAAATTCAGTATTGTGACGGAGAATTAAAACAACAGAATTAGGCCAAATGATTAATTATCAAACGCATCACAACGTAACAAAGCAAAATATGGTTTACACTTTAAAAAGAAGACATCATAGTAAAAACTTTCTTCAAATAGGTGTATTTGTTCTCGATTTAAGTAGATAAGTACAATTATCTACCTATAAAACAAGATTTTTACATTTAAAATAAAAAAAAACTGTATCTTATTTAAATGCAAATATATATATATATATATATATATTTTTTTTTTTTAGGGGCAAAAATTCAATTTATTCTGTACATAATTTTACTAACCTACTCAAATGAGGGGCAAATTAGTAACTGTAACTCATACTTCACTCTCCCAACTTTTTATCTGCTTATTTGCTGATGATAGTTGATAATTAAAACATAAATTCATAAAGCAAAACCAAGCATTGATATTAATGGTTATGCCTTATATAAACTATTTTTTAAAGAAAATTATAAAAAAAAAAAATTATGGCATAGAAGATGGATATCTTCTTTATGATTTTGACCAATGTTAAAGCTTTGTATTTAAACCATTTTTTCCCACCACATACAGTAAATTCTTATTCCAAATGATATGTTTGAGTGAGGTCATAAAAAAATGTTCTATTGGATGCAATTACATAATTGCCTAATGTGCATAAACACATTATGAGTGTGCGTTGTCTGCTCAAAAGTCACGTAAATGTCAACCAGTCTGCATTTTTACAGTATTCCTACAAACTTCAAGCAATTATAATAATTTACAAATGTATTTTGAATCTGACAGCCGTTGACATATCCTTGGGGAAGCACTGCCCTTTGGTCACGTTCTGGATTTCATCACTGTCTTATTTTTACCTTTTTTTTGTCAAATAGTGCTGCTTTTGAGCCTTTGCCAGTTTTTAGTACAATCCATCTTGCCTGCAGTTTTTCATTACTCCTTACCTTTCTCTAATCTCTGCCAGCAGGGTTCTCTCTCAATCAAAATACCAAATCGAGTCTCCACCAGTCCTGTCGTCACGTGGTGCGCTCCTGGGCCAATCAGAGCTTCGGAGCTCACCTGCACAACATGACGTTGACCAATGGGAGGCTGCGAGTGCCTCAGGATGGACGGTACTACCTGTACTCACAGGTGATCACTCTCATCAGCTTGGTTCAAATGGCATAGAAAGATTTAAGAGGTGCCACGGGTTGCTCACAAAAAAAAAATCTGCTGTTGTGGTGTTATTCATGCCTAATGGATTTTATTGAAAAGCAATACGCCTAAAGGCCCCCACATACTGTGCGCATATTCTGAGCTGATCTCCGCAGACTGCTGAGAGTTTATACTCTATTGTTTCAGTCATGTGAAGTCTTTAGTTGTAAGATTTGTCTTTTAGCTTTATAAAAACAAAAGAAAAAAGAATGATATATAAGGATATTAATCCAGATCAGGGATAAAGAAGGGGAAATTATAATATTTTCCCTCACTGAACAAGTTTTTATGTTTTCTAACCCATTCCACAAGATGCTCTTACGGTAAGTCCATTTCACCCAGAAGATGGTGGCAATACTCAATCTATTGCTGTCACATACAAAATGGTTCATTGTGATCGCTGTTTCTTGCCAGGAAGCTTATTGCACAACACCATGTTAGCATACGCGTTAGTAAAAAACAAGCTTTCCGTGGACATGTCCAGGGGATGTCCGCTTCGAGATTGCCTGGAGTACCCCTTCAGTATGTCCAGACTATGTGGGGGTCCTAAAGTATAGATGATTAGTCAAACCTGACACAGATCTTGCAAAATGATGCCATCCATGGTTCATAATCGTCCTCTGTTGCCGACTACCTCTAGGTCTATTTTCGATATCCGTCTCCAGCTGCCAGTGATGGGGACCAGCGTAGCGTCAGCCACCAGCTGGTGCAATGCGTCTACAAGAAAACCTCCTACCCAGACCCTATACAGGTAGAAAATGGGTATTTCTTTACATGAATCAGTTATCTGAGCCATTCCTCATCTTGATTTTCTCTTGTCTTTGGTTTTCCTAGCTCTTAAAGGGTGTAGGAACCAAGTGCTGGGCTCCAGATGCTGAGTACGCCCTGCACTCGGTCTACCAGGGAGGACTGTTTGAGCTAAGGGCCGGGGACGAACTCTTCGTCTCAGTGTCTTCTCCAACCATGGTGAATGCCGATGATTCCTCCAGTTATTTTGGGGCCTTCCGCTTGGACCTTTAAGAACAGGACGGGAGAAGACAAAAGACAAAGAGACTAAGGTGTAAATGGAGATAATGCGACAAATATCAGTTGATCACAATGGGAAGGCTGGATCTTGGCTCTTGAGTGTGGGCCACGATAGACACACCTATTGAGGACAGTTGTGGGGGTATACACGTTAGCCTGAAAGACGAACACAGCAAGACGTTTGGATGAAAGGGAAAGCGAAAAGAGTGGATTTGTCTTTCCCACTGTCCACAAGAAAAACGTGGTTGGTGGAAAGATTATACAGAGGTGTGCAATCATAAATGTGAGGACTGATTAACAGTTGATTTGTGCTGTTTGGATTTTGCAAAAGATCATTTGGACATCTTCACTGAACAGATCTATCTCTGTGATTTTACTCTGTTAACAAACTTTGTTGTAAAAAAAAAACAAAAAAAAAAACAATCATACCCTTGGATTTCCGAACCAAAGAATGTACACACCATCTTCTGCATCAAAGATGTGAAGAAGGACTTTTTTTGACGTAGCAGAAGTGTAATAATCAAACCAAAGCAAAGTGTCTTGAGTTTAACTTTTCTAAGTGTGCCATGAGAGTACTGTACATATGTAGGCCTTAGCATGGGACTTAGATGATGATGATGACCTGTGGTGATATTTAATCTAATGCATTTTTTATTTTTGCTTTGACTTAACCGAAAACCACTTGGACTAGAACCATGGAGTGCATGAAAGTGGCAGTAGAGGATAAGGACTGCCTATTCATACTGGATACTACCAAGAGCTGTGATCAAACAAGAACTTTTTTAAGAGTCTGTAAAGAAGATAGAGGTGAAAACAAAGAGGATAAAGGTGAATTATTACAAAGAATGACAGCAACAAAGAAGAGGGAGATAAAAACAAAGACTCAGAGAGTCTTAGAATGGCATGCAGCCCAACAAGTCTCTGATTCTTCCCTTCTGTCAAGTTTTTCACTAGTTTATTCAGCCTTACCTTAGTTGTCTAACCTGTGAACCTGCATTGTGTTTTACCGTAAGGAAAAAACTAAAAACTCAACCTGAAATACCAAACAGGTGGATTACAATAATGTTTCCGCACCGTACATGCAGAGAAACTCTAGTTGGTAAATTTTAAATATTTACAGCTAGCATGGTTGAAAAGTTATTGTGTTAACTTTTGTTTCTTTAGGGACAATGTCACAACTAGCACCTTCTACATTGAAATACATTCATAATAATGTTCAAACACTAACTGTAATTTTAATCTTCCTTGACAACAACTACGTCAAAACTGCTCTAATGAGGATTATTTCTACAGAAAACTTGACCTAAAAATAACAAATACATATGTTAGATTATGAATCTATAATTCACTTTCTTCAAATCTCTACCTTGTACAAACTTTTGTTCAGAGGATAGAGCATTTCTATAAAACAAAAAACTTTTCAATGCCTTAAATTTTTAGCTACCTTCTAGAAGCCGCTAAAAACATGCTTTCAAGCTAACGGGGTGTTCTTTTTTATAACAGTTTGCTAAACCCTCCCAATGCATAGTTGTTGTTTTTTTATGAGGTATGATGGGCAGGGTTATTACAATAAAACAGCAACATTTTGACAAAAATTTAAATGGGATAAAATTGGTAAAGTTCATGAGCTACATTGTGATTTGTAACTAGTGAACTCAGGATGCTAAACCACATAGATTAAGCTAACCATGTACCTAGCTTTGTGTCTATCTAAAAGATGCAATCTGCATTAGACCTATAAATCTTTTGTTCAACCATAATTTAAGAAAAATAGGTTAATTAACTAGTTACTGAGAAAAACCCCACGCATTAGCAACCAATCTTTCAATCTGGGCTTAGCTAACCCCTGTCAGTATCTTCTGTGTTCTGTTATTCTTATCGTTTGTGTTGGCTTGTTTGGATAAGCGGACACGATAAACAGAAAAGCTGCTTTCAGTGTTTTGACTGAAACTAATAATGCTCTAAAGTGCTAAGGTAGCTTTGCTTGCATTAGTGAAACTTGGTTAAAGATGTGTTTTTTTTATTTTGGACTTTAAAGAGACCCCAAATCAAAAACCCTCCAAATTTAGAATAAAGGCTTGATTACAAACATAACACAACCTTGATCGTTTTTAAGACAAAAAAGGATGTTTGAAGTAGGGTTTTTTTTTTCCTATAACAGCAGTATTTGATCAGTTTGACAAAAGCCTCTTATTTCCCAAGTAATGTTTTCCTCTGTTGCTGAATTTATGGTCCTCCATCTTGCTAGCTGCCTCAATGTGCCTCATTATCTGGTCATTTCTCTGTTAGAATAGCTTCCAAGGAAATAAAGGACCTAGAAAAGTTAAAAGGACGAATTGCAAATGTTTATATGTCTAACTTCATACTAAATTATGTGATTATGAAAATTGCCCGTCTGAGGCGTTTTACACTACTAAAATCAGGTAAGCTAGGTGTTAGCCTTTTGCTATGAACCCTTTAGGAAAACCCTTAAATATAAGATTACCCCCTGAAACGGGCTCAGACACGAAAACTGTTGAGGCGCACCACCGACATTAAGTTTCACTTTGAGAAAAAGTATTTTAAATCAGACTAAAATCAACCATTACAAGCAAGGCCTACGTTTTTTCGTGAAATGTAATAGCAGGAAGCGTAACAGTCGAAAATAAAACTGGGGGTAACAGTTCCTTTAAGCTAAAGCCACCGATCAGGACGTTTTCCCCAAAAGTGCCCATGTGGGACGTTAGTTATTGAAATTCTCATGTACTGTGGAAGTAATTTCTTTTCTTTTTACTACCACAATTTAAAAACGATTTAAAACAGGAGACTTTAAACAAAAGCTGGTGTTACAGTACACCGATGAAAGATCACATGATTAAATATGGACATAGACTGCCTTGTATGCGCAGATCAGAAAATAGCCACACTATAGTTTTGGAAAAACATCCCAGTTAAAGAAAGTCACAGACATTATTAGATGGGAGGAAGCAAGATATTTGCTGACACAAACCATGCACCCCCTAGCACAGACTCAACCCCCTACACACTTTCCTTTTGCTGGTATGTGGGAATGTATGCAAAATAAAAAGACACACATACCCATCACCTCACACTTCATGCCGGCCAGCATGTGCTTTGCAGACACACACATCATCTGGTGTCACACTCAGTGCAAAAAGCACAAACACTCAGATTTATACACACTCGGAAATTTATGTTGCAGCCTCCCCATGCCATCTGGTTGTTGTCAGAGTCCACTTACTGTATGGGTTTTCTGTTTAAACAGCTTATGTCACAATCAGAATTAAGATATGAGGTTGAACAAATGAAACGCACCTTTCTTTGCCTGAACACTAAAGCCGTAATTTTTTCCCTGGAGTAGAGGACATTTCTACACACAGAAATATGTATGCCGTCAGGCGGAGCAATAATTCAGTTGTAATGGTTTAACTGTAAAAACACTTTAGAATGATTGCCTTGTTACCTTTTCTTTTTTTTGCAGGTTGTGATTTCTGTCACCCCATTAATGTTCTGTCTTGTACACCACGGTTGACTCTCAGTGTCTCGAAACGACATAAAAACCCTCACATTATTATCAAAACCTACGTGTCCACATTGTAACAATACATCCAACATCTTTTTTCAATTTCTGCATTGAATGTCTAAGGGCTTTGTTTCTACTGAACAGTTTTATACGTAGCTGTGGACATTTGTGGCACAGTGTTTCTGGAAAAATAAACAAATATCGAGAAAAAAAAAAAAAACTGCGTGTGATTAAATTCTTACTTTGGGCTTCAAAGTAACAAAAAAAACAACAACAAAAGAACAGCTTTCTTTGCTTAAACAAAGGTCTGCAGAAAAATGGGATTAAAACCAAAACAAATAATCTACAGGATTTAATATAGTTTTTCATCATGTTTATATTATGTCACTTTAGAAATATTACAACTAGTATAGAGTCAAACATTGTTGTGGTTTGTGTCACTTAAATCCAACCTATCATCATTCAGGCATAAAATGTTTGTTTTAAACTCAAAGGATGAAACAATAATGACTCCACTGTTAAATGTGCAGTTTTTATATGTCATGTATCCTTTTGAATTTAAAATTAATCAAAGGGTTTGAACTTCTCTGCTTCTCCAGGGTATAAGTATGACACAGAGGCCTATGTTTTAAAAACAGGAAAGGCAGGAAAGCTTTTTATCTAACTGAGCCAGATGTACTTTGCTTTACCTATGCCACAATAAATGACTCAGCAAAATCTGCCTATATGTACAGTCTAAGAAATCATTTAAGAGTTTAAAACAACTGGTGTGGCAAACACGGCCTAATGAGGTCTGGTGTGTTTTCCTGCCAATAAACACAGCAGGAAGCTTGGCAAAATGCCCAGAGCTCACAGTTAGATAACTGCAGCAGAGAGGGGCATCTTTGGGTCCCCAAGTCTCTATAACCACAAATTTCTGATCCCACCATCACAGTTGCAGGCATGCAAATTTTGTTAATTCTTATGCAAGCTTTAAGTACTTTGGGTGCATTTATTGGGTAAATTCGTCCACGGTTTGGTAAAAGAGTAAAATGGCATGCAGCTTTCTTTTTTTTATTATTGTCATTACACAAGTACAGGGCATCGAAATTCACTCTCTGCATTTAACCCATCCTGGGGAGCAGTAGGCTGCCATTGTGCGGTGCCTGGGGTGTGGGGTTAAGGGTCTTGCTCAGGAACCCAGAGTGTCAGTCCATGGGAGCTGGGCTTGAACTCAGAACCTCTGGATTCCAAGAACAATGCCCTAACACTAGGCCACCCTCCCCTAATGCAGTTGAAACAGAGTGATTCGGGGGGGCAGTATTAATCCAGTATTGTGCTGATCCACAAGAAAGAAGAAAGACTGTCTCGATTAGATAAGACACAATGGAGAAACTTTGAATGTTGGTAGTGGTGGGGTATCTGTTGCTAGTTTCATGTTCAAAATTCCATATAACCCAGAGACAGATGTCCAAACTTCTTCATCTTTAGATTCAACCTCCTGCTGTGGCTTTCCTCTTGCTCTTCTCTTCTCAAATGCGCTGATCAAATGTCACATGCCGTCATACTCTGGTGGATAAACTGAGTACCAGTACATACTGTACTGTATACACCCTGCAAGGCAACCACTCCATGGTTCTAATAGAGTACCGAGATCATGCCAGGGTATGGCTTTCATTTCCGTTTCAGGACCTTTGCTGGTTTCACCAGGCTTAATTTTACTCCAGAAACTTCTAGAGGTCTGGTGTGAAGGCACGGAACTGTAGGTTAAAAGATTTGAGCAACAAAAACTCCTCAGTCTAGCATGGAACAAAATACAAGCCCCTTCCCAATTGATGCCAATTAAGTACTGATACGACATGCACGGCTGGTAAAGGGCTGGTAGTGCTTAATTTCAAAGGCGGGACTAACTCAGTCA